CTGGCAACTGGGTATGCGAAGATCTCAAGAGCATCCCAGGGGTTAGCTGAGAAGTTATCTGAAGTTCGAGAAAGTCTAACCGGCTTGGGGATGCTTGAGAGACCAAGAAATTGCCGGACAGGTTCGCAGGTGGCTCAGTTCAGCACGGATCATCCATCACGTCTTGGTGCCGATGTGGCTGTGGAGTCTGAAGTTGCAGGCACGTTGGCTGGGATTTCAAGTGTTAATAATACGGAATCCGGGTGGGATGGGTTGTTGGGGATTGATTGGACAACCGGCGGTGAGGCGAGCACAGTACTGTCAGAGAGTATATTTTAGTTCCAGTGACAAATGGTCATGATTGATACCCACTCATTTTCCAGATCCTCCGCTAGTCCCTTTTGCTTTGACAAGTGCTTGACTGCAAAAGATAATACAAGGAACAAATGAGAAGTGCACACCTGAGTTGCACGGCCGCATAAAGACTCTTGAGTGTAGAACAATAATCCAAGGTTGTAGTACGGACTCCCCTACATTCAATGCATCCTTGATGATTGATTATAAACGCCTAGTCTATGTTTAGGTTCACTTATATACAATTATGCAATCAGTTGTTGCATCTCGACAAGACTATGAAGGTCTAGTTGGTCTTGAAGTATCTGTCAAACCAAGTAATCGCCTGGTAAAAGGCCTGCTCCTTTGCAAACCGCTGCTTCTCATCCTTCACGTCACCACGAACAGAGAAACCATGGGAGACTCCAGAGAACAGATTAATCTGGTAGTCCTTTCCTGTCTTCGCCAGTATCGCTTCACTTTCGTGGCGCTTCTCTGCGGGGAATATTTCGTCGAACTCAGCCGCAGCAATGGACAACGGCCCAGTAATGGCAGCCAGCTCATCTGAGTCCACAAATGAGGGGTGAGCAATGAAACCACACTGAATGCCGCTTTGGTAATGGCGCACAGCGTACTGAAGTCTCTTTTAGCAACCCGTGACTGACAACGGCAGTGCTATAAGACTAGGAACTCACTTTTGCGCCGAAGCAGTACCCTGCTGCCCCAATCTTTTCAATGCCCATGCCTTTCAGATACTTGATTGCGGCCTGGACTATCGGGTCAATGGTCTCCGTCGTATGCGGATTCTGGCCGTCGGATCCTTCTTGCAGCCACTTCATGATATCGAAGTCCGCAGGCATATTTAACGGACAGGGATCACGGTTGAAAGTGTCGAGAACAAGACAGACGTAGCCATGGCGTGCAAACTCATCAGCCATGAGCTTGCTGTTCTGCCATATGCCGATGATGTCCGGCAGATACAGTACTGCTCGCGCGGGCGTCTGCTGAGATGTTGGTATCGCCAGATACGCTTCGATGTTGCCGTCAATTTGGATCAGGCTACCCTCAGGGGTACCTCTGCGATATGTTAGATTCGATTTTAATCTACAAAATATGGCCTCATGTGTGAATGCGTACTCGTGTAGTTTGCCGGCTGTGCAGCATGCAGCGGGCGCATGGGATGCCATGATTGGTGACGATAACAGAGCCTTTCAGCAACTTCAATGCTGTAATGCGTCCATGATCAAATCAGAAACATTCCACGCGACTGATTATCTTATCTTGTTTACTCTCTTGGTGTTGTCGACCTATCTCGGTCATCGTCGCATTGTGATGCGGGACAGATCTGACAGCTTCGGAGCTTCCGTAGCCCCCCCGGCAGCGGGGCCGGGACCCACTTTCCGAAGGTCGGAACTAGTTCCTGAACCATAACCCCAAAAACCACGATAAGAAACAGAGCGCATTTGTGACGTCGAAAGGCATTTGGCCATGTCTCTCGTTTTCTCTTACCAGGAACACTCATCCAATACAGTATTCTACCACATCCAACCAGCATATCTCACGCCCCCGACAACCCCCAAGATGCCTCCTTCTGACCCCCTTGACGATGTGCGGCCGATGTTTGAGCTGCGCGGTCGCAATTACATCGTGACCGGTGGAGCGCAGGGCATTGGATTTGCCTGCACTCGCGCCATCTGTGAGATGGGCGGTAATGTGGCGGTGCTTGATATCCAGGAGAAGCCAGTTGAAGAGTTTGGCTCTTTGACCGCAAAGTTCTCTACCAAAGCTATCTACATCCAGACCGACGTCACATCTCAGGAGAGTATTAAGGCTGCCTTTGATAAGGCGTTGAGTGAGTTTGGCACCATCGATGGCTGCGTGCCGGCTGCTGGTATCGCCATTGATAAGCCGTTCCTTGAGCAAACTTGGGATGAGTTCAATCGCATTCAAGAAATCAACGTTAGTCACTACTTCGGCGTGAGAATTATCATCGCTAATACTTTCAACAGGTTCGTGGAACTTTCTTCGTAGCTCAGCTCGTGGCAGCGCAATTGGTGAAGCAGGGCACTGGAGGTAGCATGGTCCTCCTGGCCTCTCAGTCTGCGCACATCGGTCTGCCTGGCTACCGCATGGCGGCATATAACGCCTCAAAAGGAGCGGTGTTCATGCTGTCTAAGGCGTTGGCTGTTGAGTTGGCACCCCACCAGATTCGCGTCAACACCATCTCCCCCGGGTTTGTCGACTCGGAAATGACGCGCAAGGTACGAGAGCTGAAAAGCGAGCGAGAAGGAGAGCAGATGTGGCTGGCGCCTCCGAACCAGCGTCTGAGCACGCAAAATGACTTGACGGGCGCTGTGATCTATCTTCTCAGTGACGCCGCGAGACACACCACAGCAACTGATATTGCTATCACTGGTGGCTTGCACGCAGGAACCATAGATGGGCTGATCAGCTACGAGACCAAGCAGTAATCCACCGCATTTTCAACCCGGATTTGAGAGCAAAAGTTATAAAAGTAAAATATATCAATTGTCCTTCCACATGACGATGTTGTATTCTGACCAATGTCTCGACGTTTCAGCCTCTTTGTTCAAAAATAGTGATCATCCTTCAAGCTTGTTCCTTTGCTTTTGCTGCCGCAGCCCCTTCAGGGTCGTGAGCTACGACCTCAATTTCGACCTGCATGCCATCCGACCCTAATCTCGTGACCCCCACGCAAGTCCAAAGCGCCTTATGGTTCGGCATCCATTTTTTGAAGTTCCTGACCATTGCCGCCTGTGCCTCATCGGTGAGGTGAATGTGGTATGACCTCACGATGAAGACTTGCTCCCAGCCCTTCCCGCCAGCATCTCTCAAGACAAACTCGACGTTTTCGAATGCTTGGTCAATGTGCTCGTCGATATCCCTAGAATGTTTGCCAGTGACTCTGTCGTGGCCACCTTGTGAAGTGAGTTAAAAGATATCTCGCGGTTTCGTGGCAAACGAGGTTGGATTTAAGAGATGCAGAACGAAGCAAAAGTGAGCGAAGTACCTTGACCAGAAATGAAGATTTGATTTTCCATGCGCACAGCTTGATTGTACGCATGTGACTTGAGGTTGTCTGAACCGAAGCCTTGGTAGGTGTAGTAGGTCAAGTGAGACATCTTGATTGGCCGTGAAAATTGATGAGATGCGACTGTACTTGTTTGCCTAGAATGATTGACGAATATTTCATCAAGCGGACATTTGCTTATATTCTGGCTAGTCACTACTCGTAGTGTCTGACTGACGTAGCACTCTGGTAGTGACCACGGCGGAATTTATGTTCCTCAGCATTCATGTTGCAGAGGTACCACTCAAAACAGTCCAGATTATTCATCATCGTCTAAAAGCGAAGTGTCTTGAGTTGACATGCTTAGATGGCCCGATGGTTGACGATTTGTTTCCTGCCCTGCTCAGATTTGGCAAGTCTTAGAATGGAAAGTTGCCAAATTAGGTTATGCGGAGACATTGGCGGCTTGTAGGCTTACCATTGGATCTTTCTATTGGGGCGATCCCGACCCTCCGACGCTTTTAATGCATACACCAGAGACCTTGGATATGCACGTGCGGAAAACATATCGCGAACCTCCACATGAACACTCGACTGTTATCAGATTTCAATCGTGAATTTGTGCTTGGAGCGCCGATACCGGGAGAGATGCCGGTCGGTGCCGGAAATACAGGGACCTGCCGTTGATAAGGCAGTGGGAGGAATATGTATTCCGCTTCGTCAATTGTCGCAATATTCTTGTAAGGGTACTCTCCAAACTATGGGATCTCGGGCAAAGGCCATTCAATTATCGTTTAGACTCCTGGCACTCAGATGCTTAGGCAGCTCGAACATCAGAAGCTAACATTGTTGCCTTTAGCTGATGGACAAGCAAGACCGCAACGATGACGATAGAATCTCATGGAGAGAAGCTTCAGCTGTCAGAGAAAGTGTCATCCAGTGGCATTTCGATAGCATCTCGGCCTGAGCTCTTGGATGATAGCCCTTTATCACAGTCTCCGTACACTTTGCGTGGCATCAGTATACCCTCAGTGCAGACAGCAATCGTTACGCCAAAGTTGGGCCCGAGCCTCAACCAAGAGATCCAATCAATCCCCGTGAGACCCCCAGGGCCTGGCGAAGTTGTTGTCAAAATAGCTTGGACAGGCATTTGCGGCAGCGTAAGCGGTCTTCTTGGGATCCAAGTGAGCGAATTGCTAAAGCAACACATTCACAGCATGTTCTGTTCTCACTCGGCCCTGGAGACGGCCTCCGGGGACCAAACCATATCGCTGGCCACGAAGGTATCGGGCACGCAGTCATGAGCTTCGATCGATCACTTCTAGGCAAACCAGTTGCGGCGAGATATCTGGCCTCCTACTGCCGATCTTGCTACTATTGTTCGCACGGCATCCCCGAATCCTGTCAGGCGCAGACAACCTTTCCTCGCCACCACAGCGGCACGTTTCAGCAATACCTAACAGTACCTTATACTTCCCTCATGCCGCTGCCAAATTTCGTCTTCGATGAAGGGATGGGTATCCGTCCTGGGATGTACACCACCACTCTATGTTCCGGGGCCGCGGCACTCAGGGCTTTGAAGTCTGCGAATCCTTCTCCGGGCGACGTGGTCATTGTCAGTGGGGTTTGCGGCGGGATTGGACATCTAGCCGGAATGATGGCCCGCAATATTTTCAAAGCTAAAGTCATTGGTATCGATCTGGCTTGGAAGGCTGAAGCGTTGGGCTCGAGAGCTGCCGATACCTTTGACGAATTCATTGCCGCCCCCGACCAGGCGACTGACTGGGACGAGTTCCAAAGAAGCATTTCCGACGCTTGCCAAAGACTACGTAATGCCAAAGAGGCTCGGCGGAACGCCGAATATCTCGTTGTTACATCAGGTTGCGAAACGGCTTTCGAAGGCCTGATCGATTACGTTTGCGATGGAGGCTCAGTCATATGCGTCGGGTAAGACACTACTCACCAATATGCATGTGAAGCTCTAACTGTGGCCAGGGTTCCGAAATCAAGAGGAAATTTGATCATACCCTTGGCTTTGATGGTGGAACGTTCGATTAGATTCCAGGGTCTCCTGATGGGTGGATGGGATGAGAGTTATGAGGTTATGGAGTACATCAAACAGGGAAAGCTACGGCCGCTTGTGGTAGAAGCCTGCCTGGAGGAAGTTCCGTCTCGAATGAAGGCCTTTCAAGACCATCTTAATATCGGGAAGGTCGTTGTCAGGATGGACGATTCAATTTGGCAAGAACGTCTTGTTTGATTTTCCCAAGGCGCAGCATTCTTCACCGCTGCGTATCGACGACTGTGCCGCCGTTCTGACCACCAGCTCCACCAACAGCCGACGGTCAACCCGCTCTGGAGGTGTGCTGCCTAGTAAAGGCGGGGCGGGACGTTCGGATAGGTAGCACTCGTGAACGGTCTCTTATGCCCGTCAAGCACGTTTTCCTTTTCTTATAAAATCTCTCTTAACCACCTTAGGAAGCGAGTTGAACTTTCCATCGAAATTGCCCATTACTCAGAGACCTTTCACACAATGTGCCAGTTCTGTCCCCGACCCGGGGACGACGACTATCCGTTGGAGACACAGGATCCGCAGCATTATCTTTACGTCAATGAAGAAGAAGGAATCTACGACCATTCCGAAGGTGTGGAAGCGGGATACTGCTGCAATCCATTTCCACCAAAGACCGTCGTCCACTCTGCACCCAGCCACGACGGCGCCCCAACCTTCGCTGCGTACTCAATCTTTGAACACACCCCAGAAAACTCCGAAACCTCAGTCCGACCTCTGCGTCCTCCGTTGGGCATCGCCATTTACGACACGACTCAGAACGCTCGCCCTGCCCGCAGCGCTCGCCTCGCACGCGCTATCTTTGATCGTACCTCTCGGTATCGCCAATTCCGAGATTCCAGACCAGACCGAATTGAAGTCATCACACTGCCCTTATCTCCATCATTAACCGACGCTGAACGTGCGGAAATTTGCGTACGCCACCATGAGAAGGAGGTCCGCGGCCGTATGTTGATGCTTAACTATGGTGAGGCAGTATCTTGGTTTCTGCCTGGACCTATCATGGAATGGCAGTACGCGCGGAAGATCTTTGCCGTTAACCGCTTGGACGATAACGGCGATAATGAGGTCGAGGTGGCCGCTTGGGAGGAGTCGTTGAACAAGGCAGAGTCGGATGTTGAGTACAAAGCTCGCAGGAACCCCAAGGCAAGCCCTGGCAGCTTTCTTACTATCAAGTGGCAACCCCGTAAGGATGCATGGCCCTTCCGCTTAGGTAGCGCTTTTGACCCCAAAAGGGATAGGGAGATGGTAGAGTACTGTTATGGACTAGAGGCTTTGGGGCATGCGTTGATGGAGGTGACAGTTGCGAATTCCACTTTTTACAGCCACTTCGTAGGTGAAGGCGTTCTTGATTTCCTACTGAAGAAGGCTAGGCTGGAATGACGACTGTGGAATTTTGGGGAATCAATAGTCAAATTTCCGAATTAGTTCTGAAAGTGCTTCTGCGATTCAGATCGCTATTGCTCAACTCCTCTATATCGTAGAGACGTAGTGAGAACGTTGTTGACGAGTGCAATCACAAAGGCGATGAGGGCATGAAGTATGAACAGCGAGAATCGATGCCCTGTCATTGGAGATCAGTCTGGCGCAGCCCAGCTGTCATGTATCACGTTGAAATGAGTTTGCTTGTTTAAATCGCATCTCTTTCGCTAGCCCATACCAACTATACGCGAACACACACCAGTGCAGTCCTTCCAGCTTTTGAGGCGGACGAGCATCTAAAGTTAACGTCTCTTACAGCATGATCTCAGCCTTTCGAGGTGCCAGCTATCCAAATTCCGGAACTGACGGAGGTCTTCACATAATACGGTATACGGTGACCCCACCCTCTGCAGCTCCATCTTCTGTCATCTGGATATATGCTCCTTGAGGCGAGCTTCCGCCGGCGGGGCATTCCATTGGTTCTTGAATTTGGTAGGTGGAGGCGTTCCAAAAATGGCGTTTCGGGCTCCGGTGCAGTAGGTGTTTGTGATAGCCTGTCGGCATGGGTTTGGACAGCTCTCATCACACACCTGCGGTAGGGCGGATGCAACTGATATCGTGGAGAGAAGTATGAAAGAGGTACGCACTGTGTAGTGTAAAGGTTCTTTGAAGTATCAAAATATTGATTAAGCAAATAGAAAGGAAATTTGCTAGTTTAAAGGTGTCGTCTGAGCTTAATGTGTACCAAACGGGTGGTAGAAAAGAACGAGGGAGTTGCAGGCAAATATCCGTCGGCATTCTTTTAGATAGAAAGGGAAAAATGGAGCGCTAGATTGCTCATCATGTCTAGAACCTGAATAATCCGCCAAGGCTTCAACGGATGCTCATTGTGTCACGGAGGTCGATCAATACCATGGCTGTGCATGTCCGAATTAGCACACCTTCACTTCAACCCGCGAAACCGCAGTTATGGGCGGAATAAGCGTAACATTCTGAGTCGATTTTTATCCCGCGATGATGAGGCCGTGGGCGGAAAGGAGTTAGGAAGTCTATTCGCGATGAAACACACAGCCCTGTTCATTAGCACAGGTGCTGTTTTCTGACATGCATCTGCTTAGGTAGGTATTAATTCTACATGCGCCTTCTGTAGACGCGTGATGGATTAGACATATGGCTCAAGCCTTGGGTCCCAGTGGCTAACGATTCGCCGAGGACAGGCAGCCTGCGTCGAGGTGAGACGGGTGAGTTTACTGAGACTTAGCTAGAAGGACTGTGGGGTGCTCAATCTCCGCAGGAATGTTGCTCTCGTGTCTTAATTTATGATCTGCAACAGCTGAGGCAAGGCGTCTTCAGGGCGCAAAGCTGCCAGATGCATCATTCATGCCATGACTCGAAGAATCTGCCCTGTGTGTCAAATAAGAGCTGCCAAGAAACACCTACTCACCCAGCACGCACGGTATGTTGCTGGCAGAGGCATCAGGGGCTTTCGGTGAGCATCGAGTCGGGCAGTGAACTAGCTGATAATTTGCATGCCAATTTGTATTCAAAGGTGGCCAGAGGAATGTATCTTCACATCACTCGCTTATTTTCTTATATCTTTCATCACATCAAACATCTCGATCTCAACAAAAGATGCAGCTCGCTATCCTCTCAATCACGAACCTCTTGCTCTGTCTCCTTCCGGCAGTCACCGCCCTGACAGATAGTTGCATATCAAGCTCAATCTCCACGGAAGTAGACAGGGAGCATAGTACCACTGTGAACTTTAACGAAACAACCAATACATACACCGCGTCTGTTCCCCCCGGCAGTATGACTCTCATCCGCCCGGCTCTGAACATCACCAACAACGGGGGATACAAGCGACTATTCTGCCTCGCAAGCGAACCTTCAAGGCCCCAAGCGGTCAGTTGCTTTGCGCTGTCACCGCAGTCGGCGTGCAAAGTGCCCGATTATTATGGAGAGCCTTTCAGGCTCGATACATATCGTCGATGAAGAGGAGTCGATTGAGGGCTTCCGGTGGTGGCGTCCGGCATCTGATGCTATTGTCTTTATTAGACCCGAAAGAAAAAGGCCCTGTAGCTTGAATGACCTTATTACTTATGATCAGAGAGCGGGGTCTTGAAAGCCCTTCACGTCTAAGAAGAGTATTGCCAAGACAATCATCCATTGCCCGCGTGGAAGGATGGGTTGCATGACGATTAAACAACTTTGCGTAATCGAGTACTAGAGATCTTGAAATTGATCATACATTGGAATTCAGACGCCATTCAATTTGCAAGAATAATTGTATGAAAACATAGACAGGGAAAATTGACCGCAGACTACCTTGGACATCAGATTTGACGGACATTGTTCAAGCAAACTTTGCGACGTCTCCTCGCCTTCGGACAGGCGCCGAAAGAACTCGAGGTCAGCTGTCCTATTGTCGTCCATGAAATGACGGTGTAATAGAAGGCAAAGCCTCTGCAGTGCATTTAAAGACTCTGTTTCATGTTCTTACCTGTTTCAACTTTGGTCTCTTTGATAGGTCGGCCTGCTCAGCTGCCCTTTTGACAGGGAAGATGTACAGGTAATGAGATTCGAAACCATTAATACACATCACATCTACGACTGCGTGTTGACATCGTCAATCTCCTCAGCCTTGAAGACATGAAGAAGCTACGTCATTTGATCTGATAAGATGCGATAAGCACGCCCCTATCGAGGTCCCAACCTGTCTGAACCCATGAACACAGCCTGTCCATTTTCAGGTTCCGTCCCTGGATTGAAAACTTCCTTCATTTATATTGTGGGGACGCTAGGAACTCTCCCAGCCGATCGACCGGGACCTAGCCTCTAGGGGCGCAATACTCAGCTCCCCTGCAAAAACAAATGACAACCTACGGATCGCCGCACGCATTCGGAGACCCCCGTGGCGACATTTATCAAAAGTCGGAACGTTCAGAACATCAAGTCAACGAGGCTCTTCACAAAATAGCATGTATAAGCTCGGTCTCCGAGGAATATTACGCTCAATAAGATCCAGCATGCGAGATGATCTTTACCGCGTCGTTGGTGTCTGCCGCTCCATGTTGCAGTGAGATTGACTATGTGCTCAGATGGGGTTCGCCAAAAGTTAAGGATTCAACGTTAAAGCCGCATGCAACGGCAGGACGGTGGCCAGCATTGGTCTCGGCCCTGTGCAGAATTCTACGAGATCCCTGAAATCCCTCAGCCGGGCCGATAGCCCCACCGCCGTCCCGGTGGCCCTTCCGGCGCTATCGCGGCGGAAGCTGACAACCGCGCGCGAGAGCGTTTGCACAACCGGGGACAAGGTAGTTGAACCTCTTGCATGGGTGTTAAACCGAATTGTTGGCTGGAATGTTCATCCCATTGTGTCAGCCAAGCTGAAGGGCGTTTCGGGGATAGTCCTAGGTAGTCGTTCCCCTCCGATGCCGCCAGGTTCCGAGATAAGTCGAAACCAACTCGGATGCTTTCGCCTATCCTCTAGCAGTTTGGCGTTGATAGAACTTATGTATTTTTTGCTTTCAGCAGTATCCATCCTGGTCATTATGCGCTTATTGCAGTAAGGCAGTCGGAACCACGATCACAGTCATCTGTACATCTATGGTCACTCCCAAGATCCCAACGAAAGAGGCAAATCGTTGAGCCTCAGGTGCTTGAGTAGCCAGTACTACTAGGTGTTGACTTGAATATGTGACGGTGCAGCAGGGTTTGGACGATAACTTCCTTCCTGATATGAAAATTTAGGGTCGTGAGCGGCGTCTCAGCGCCCGCCGTAAAAAGGACAGCCAGTGGAGCCGACTCGTATTCAGACGAACTTCGATGTTGTCTCCTAAACATCCCTGCAGGGCAGAAGTGCCTCCCACGTGTATAAGTGAGACAATATGATAAGGCACCATCCGCGTATCTAGTCTGAATAATGCATTAGTGACCGTCCGAAGAAGCCGAGCATGGCGTTGTGGAGTTGGGTTGCCCTGATCATGTCGGCAATCTTTTGCTAAGCATTTCAAAGACCCACTTGTAAGGAAAAATAACAGTGGATCCCAAATTCTTGTTTCTCGCCGCTGCCGTTATGTGGGAATGTTCAAGAAGAAGGAAAAAAAACGCTGACTCGCGAGAGGCTCGTTTTCGCCATTCCAGAGTCGCATCAGCACAAAAAAGAAGAAAAAATAGGGATATTTCGTCATATCTTCACAGAACATCATACGTCACTCGGAGTTCGCGTAGCTGCCCCCTTGTTTATCTACCAAGACCACACTTGAGGTTTGGCTGGTTCCGGGAGTCTGGACTTAGACAGCTCTGCGGATTTACGCGCGAGCGCCGAGATCCAGAAAATGCCCACCAGTCGGTGGAGAGAGCGGATCAACTCAGCTACAGCAACCTGGATGGAAATTTGGAAGACTTTCTAAGCATGACATAAGTTGATTCTACCGCGCGGTGAACATGGGACCCAGCTAGCCAGCCGTTGAGCCAGGCGGGAGCTAGATATAAACTCAAGGGATCGTCACCACGTGTTGATTCTATTCTCATCTCAGCATCGCACCGCATCCGACTTCAACTTTCAACATGCTGCGCCCCATTGTCTCCCTCCCGCTTCTTGCGGCCACCGCGCTCGCCTATCCCGCTGCGTCTTCGCAGCGGTTCGACTATGTCATCATCGGTGGTGGTACCAGCGGTCTGGTCGTTGCCAACCGTCTTTCCGAGTTGAAGAATGTTACCGTCGCTGTCATTGAGGCCGGTGACTCTGTCTACGACAACGTCAACGTTACCAGCCCCTCTGGCTACGGATTGGCCTTCGGCACCGACATCGACTACGCCTACCAGACTACTGCCCAGAAGTATGGCGGCAACAAGACTCAGACCCTCCGTGCCGGCAAGGCTCTCGGTGGTACCAGCACCATCAACGGCATGGCTTACACTCGTGCCCAGGACGTTCAGATCGACATCTGGGAGCGTCTTGGCAACGACGGCTGGAACTGGAACAACCTCCTCAAGTACTACAAGAAGTCTGAGACTCTCCAGCCCCCCACCACTGTCCAGGTTGACGATGGCGTCACCTACATCCCTGAGCAGCACGGTACCTCTGGTCCTCTCAAGGTCGGCTGGAAGTCCGGTGGTGTCGAGAAGTCCTTCGTCGACGTCTTGAACCAGACCTACAACGCCGTTGGCGTCCCTGCCCTGAAGGACATTGCTGGTGGAGACATGGTCGGCTGGAACATCTACCCCGCCACCCTTGACACTGCTCTCCAGGTTCGCGACGATGCTGCCCGCGCGTACTACTTCCCCTACCAGAACCGCACCAACTTCCGCGTCTTCTTGAACACCGAGGCTCAGAAGCTCGTCTGGGCTGAGGGAGCTGAGGCCACCGCTTCCGGAGTTCTCGTCAAGGACAAGACCGGTGCTACCCACACCGTCTATGCCAACAAGGAGGTCATTCTCTCTGCTGGCTCTCTCAGATCTCCTCTCCTCCTGGAGCAGTCCGGTGTTGGAAACCCCGAGATTCTGAAGGCCGCCGGCATCCAGACTAAGGTCAACCTCCCCACCGTCGGTGAGAACCTCCAGGACCAGATGAACAACGGCCTGGCCCAGACCAGCTCCAAGAACTTCACCGGTGTCACCACCTTCGTTGCCTACCCCAACGTCGACGACGTCTTCGCGAACCAGACCGCTTCTCTCGCCGCCAACATCAAGACCCAGCTCTCCCAGTGGGCCGCCCAGGTCTCCGAGTACACCAACGGGGTCGTCACCAAGGAGCAGCTCGACAAGTTCTTCGACATTCAGTACGACCTCATCTTCACCGACAAGGTCCCCCTCGCTGAGATCCTCATCACCCCTGCTGGTTCCTCCTTCTCCACCGAGTACTGGGCCCTCCTTCCCTTCGCTCGCGGCAACATCCACGTCACCGGCGCCAACTCCTCTGCTGCCAAGATCAACCCCAACTACTTTATGATGGACTGGGACATGACCGAGCAGATTGGCACCGCCAAGTTCATCCGTCAGCTGTACAAGACTGCTCCTCTGAGCCAGTACTTCGCCAGCGAGACCAAGCCTGGTTTGGCCACCATCGCCGAGGACGCCTCTGATGATGTTTGGTCCAAGTGGATCCTTGAGAACTGTAAGTTTGCACAACTACCTAACGGTTTGAATATGTGTGCTAACCATCACGAACACAGATCGCTCCAACTTCCACCCCGTCGGTACCACTGCCATGATGTCCCAGGAGCTGGGCGGTGTTGTCGATGCTAACCTCAAGGTCTACGGCACCAGCAACGTCCGCGTCGTCGATGCCGGTGTCCTGCCCTTCCAGGTTTGCGGCCACCTTGTGTCCACTCTCTACGCCATTGCCGAGAAGGCTTCGGACATCATCAAGGCTTCCGCCTAGAGGATCTGCTCTGGTCCCGTGACAAGGTTTCTCGTTTTGTTCAAGTTTTATAGATCTCTGCTTTCATCACATAGACATACCCAAGGGTTGGAATATGGGAGCGATAAATGAATAGAATTCCTTTCGATGTACATATAGACTAGGTTACATACATCAAAATTTCACAAAGTAAAGACCACTTCGTGCAAACTAGCCTGCCGTCAGCTCAAATGGTCATGAAACGCCAAGAGCGAAGTGGATGATCTTTGTATTTCGATGAACTAATGTTCGATGAAGAAGCTTCGTCACCTGTATGATTTACAACGACCCCATGAACCCATCACATTTAGGCCATCATACTATGCTACCCTGCCTCAGAGGCTGCTAGAGTATGACAATCTGCATGCATGCGCTGCCTGAAATGGAATTTAGTGGATGCGGTTTTCGTTGCTGATTGGCCAAAACGATCAACGCTTCCGCGCGTCGTTCCCATGGATGGACCCCATGATGCCCTCAGTCGCTTTTAAAATACTCAAACCCAATGATGATAATTAAAGAAAGCCGCAATCAAACATGAAGAAGCAATCCACCGTATACTTGTACATCTCTCCAATATCAGGTACGTACCCCGAAATAGCTGCCTGGAGTAGCTGCCTAGATCAGGTGACCGATGGCCACCCATAGTGCAGTCGGCTTACGTCTCACCATCACTTGAACCTCCTGCGGCTCTGCCATGAGGAAGTCTTATAAAAGCCTGACTTGCTTCTGTGATGAACATACACTCACTTAAAACTTTTCAATCCTTCAGGGCCGTCATTCAGCTCATGCTCCAACATTAATCGGTTAGTAGTGTGCGGCTATGTCGACGTCGACTTTCCCATCCGAAAAGGCTCGTGCTGCCGACTTCAGGCATCAAGTCACCCAGTCCTTCGAGGTAGATGCACAGAATCTGGCGACAGAGACAGACAAAATTGACCAGCTGGTCTCCATCCAGAGCTTTGCCCTCAAGTTCATCAAGGATGCCGCGCGCCAATCTCCCGAATATCAAGAAGGACTGAACCTTCTGTGGCATATGTTCTGCATCACTGCTAAGAATCTTCACCAGGAAGACTCATTCCAGGATAGCCTTGTATCCCTGCTGCTGTGGACCAAAGAGTATGGCTCTCTTTACAGACAACTCCACCCAAATGAGGTTGCTGATGGTTCTTGGGAGGGGTATGGCTTTGCTGGGGAATTGCAATCATCCTGGGAACAGCTCTCGACGCAGGAAGATGTTTCCAAAATGTGCAACTTGGCGATGTTTTCGGCCAAGTGCTTTGCGATTGGAGTGAGCGACGATATTGAGCGAACTGCCACATGGGTTATGCGGAACGCTCTCGAGACTGAAGAAGATACAGATGGACTGGTCTACCTTCCTTCTGCGGTCGTTTTGGTGCAAAACTGCGCCTTCAAGTTGTTCTCCTTACCATTGATGAGATTGCAAGAAACACATTCTCCAGAGGAGGATGTCCCGGATACAGCGGCCGTCTTGGTTCAGAAAGCAGGCATCCACGAGGTGAGATTTTCTCAGTCGAGATGGCTCTACTGGCGACGCCGGTTCCAGGAGATTGGCCGCCATCATGACCCGGTCGTAGCCTCACAAGCGAAAAAAGGTTTCATGGCCATGATCTCATGTGGGCGGCTGTTAGATCTGTCCGTCTTCGGCGAACTCAGATTCGAAAAGCACCTTCAACAGGCCATGTGGGAAGAGCTCAAGAGAAGCGGGAAAGAGAGCGTGGGTGGAGATAAGATCGAAATCAATCTCATTTTATGAAGAATTCTTTTGTGAATTTTTATATAACTATAGGGAATATGAGGACCCTTTTTTCCTCTACCCTAACCTAAGTTAGTCTTCTTAACTATTATATCCTTAGATAAGGATAATAATAGCGATTAGTTCTTAGAGCTATTTACTATATTTTTTATTAAATATTTTATTAATTTCTCTTATATTATTCTTATTTTTTAAGTTCTTAGTAATCTTTTTAAATCTTTATTTAATTTAATAGAGAACTTAGTTCTAAAGGTTTTTTAAAAACTTAATATATATTATAAAGAAATATAGAGATATTATATTATTATTTTTAGCTATAAAAATATAACTAAATTATTATTAAATATATAGTAAACTAATCTCTTTTAAATATTTAATATTACTAATAGTAAGAGCTATATTAATTAAGTAAGAAGTATATATAAGATTTATTTTAGAGAGTTTTAAATATAAGCTATAGTATAATAAAGAGCTATTTCTACTAACTTAGCTAAGTAGCTTAAAAATCCCCTTTATATACCCTATAAGTTAGCTATAGAGGTTATACTATAACCCTCTATATATTTCCCTGTTAGAGTTATACGGTAGTTAATAAGGTGTGCCTCTAGGCAGCAAACTACGAAGAAGAAAACTTAGAAGGGAAGAAAGATCGAAATCAATCTAGATTAGGTTAATATCGACGCTGAGAGCGAGCCACAGCAAGACTAGCAGCACTATTTCTGATTTATATACATGCAGACGTTGATGTTAGACCAATCGAGCAACCGTCTTCATGACTCCCCTTTCCGTTTCATTTGCAGGCGCGTAGGCAATCTGTTACACTAGAGCTTAGCACTCAAAACCTTCCGGATCGTTGATGTTGCTGCACCGATATCCTGTCGCAGGAGTCGGTGGGTCAACACTGATGTTGGTGAAGTTCATGTTCTCGATTCGGACATCATCACATCCACCATGAGCCCGACTGCATTGGAGGTAAGCCACGCGGCTCCCTTGGAGTGTGCCACGGAAGTTGGTGAAGCTGATGTTGGAGATGTCGAATAAAGATGAACTGCAATTTCCCTGCTGACCGTTGTATGTGATGCATTGCATCACGTAGATGGGAGCCTGTTCCGCGTCGTAGATGGTTACATTATCCCACCCTAAATTCTTAATGATTAGCTTGGTCTTTGGACGCAACCTTCATGAAGTTGGGTCATGGCGGCGAGTAGCCGATGGCCTTGTTCTGCTTCGACTTACTGAGATTCTTAGCATCTGGAGTGAAGTCAGCGCAACCCCAACCCGCTATGGTCTGAAGGCATGACTTACATCCTAAACCAGCACCCCCGCCATTTGGTGGATATCCAAGCTGCTCACCAGCAGCGCCCACCCCAAGGCAATCAATCAAGTTTGAGGCCCATAATTGACTTGATTGCCACATCGCGATGCTATACTTGATTGATTGCTAATTAATTGCAATTAATTAGCAAATATCCCCACATATAGGTGAGGGCTCTAGAGGGGGGGCCCTAGAGGGGGCTAGAGGGGGGCCCTCTAGAGGGGAGGGCTCTAGAGGGGAGGGCTCTAGAGGGTAGGGTCCGGAAGGTTAGGGCCCGGGAGGGTAGCCCCCGGAGGGGAGGCCCCCGGAAGGGGGGCCGGAAGGGGGGCTAAAAGGGGGGCCCCGGAGCCGGGTTTTCGGGGCCGAGAGTCGGGCTAGATTAACGATTTTCCGGACTTTTCCGGGTCCCTCAGCCCCCTAAGCCCCCCCTTAAACCCCCCCTTAAGCCCCCCCTAAGGCCCCCCTATAAGGCCCTATAAGCCCTAGTAGCCCCCCTCCCCCCTTGTTAAAAGAGTCAAGGTAATCAATTAAGTTTGAGCCTCAAACTTGACTTGATTGACTAGCGATAGCTTCATAATTGATTGATTGATTGATTGAACTTGACAAGTTTACTTGCTTTGCGGGGAGCGCTGCTCACCAGTCCACGTCTTGATGCGACCAGCATAACGAGATCCATGGGCCAAGACGTTCCTCACCGTCACATTCTCGATGGTCTCAAACTGGCCTGCATACTGCCCAATGCTGCCAATTGCCACGCCCTGGCCATCGTGGAATTCAACGTCTTCGATCAGAATGTTTGTCGAGTTGGCCTTGGTGGCAATGCAGTCATCGCCATTCTTAACTGTCCAGCGACGAAAATGGATGTTGTCCGAGAACATAGTATTAGCACCGTCGGTATTACGAGCAGGGTTTCTGTTGGAGCTTGTGTTGTTGACGTAGATGTCTTGTAGGAGAACGCGTTTGGACCTCGTGATTGTGACTGTCCTGTGCCGGGAAGCTGTTAAGAAATTGTGATTCGTTGACGGACGGGAGTATGAAAGAAGGGCGAGCGGGGTATGTTTGCAACTTACCACATTTGAGCTTGGACAAACCGGAGACCCTCAAAGACGGAATCTTCTGCTCCGTCAAGCAAGAGCGCATGAGGCCTGTCTACTTCGGGTCAGATGACTGCGTTATGGGCAACACCTCACCGAGGATCACTCACTAGGATAGTTCGACTCTCCCTTGACCAAGTCATACCAAGTTTGACCGTTACCATCGAATGTGCCATAGCCAAAGCCGTTGACGTCGAGATGCTTTCCACCGAGAACCCAGGCGGTCGTCTGGTTTTGGTAGCCAATGGGGAGAGAATTCTCTAGCCAATACGTCGTGTTCTTGCTCCACTAAATCCCGAGTCAATCACATAAGACACATTTCTTTCTGAACGCGACGCTGATAGCACATCACTTACCAAGAGGGTCCCTTTAATATCGATCTTGACGTTGTTGAGATCAGTAGTCTTCATGACCTGACCAATGTGGTACGTGGCGTTCTCAAAGACAATGTGTTCGTCAGTCTTGCACTTGTCGAATGCGGCCAGGATGGCGGGTGTGTCATCGGATCCGTCACCGTTGGCAGGTACCACACATTGTGTAGACTTTGCCTGTCGTCGGTTCAGACCTTTGACTGGGCCCAGGTTCGTAAGTGCACTGACCAAATCAGATGCAACCACCGCGACCGCAATAAGTCGATAAAAGAGCATGATGAGATATGAAATGAGTTGATTGAGTCAGCGTGCCAACTTCTGGTCAATCTGCGAACATGAGCGTCGACTTATACATATTCTGCATTCTGTCAAAATACGTCAAGTCCGGAGGCCTCGATTATCAGCATCTTGCTCTGGGCTTGTTCACTTTCACCAATACCAAAACAAGAAGTCCACTTTCACCCGCATGCCAAAATGCATACATTCAAAGCTTCCGTGCGTCGTATCATAGAGCAAGATCCACGAATCACGTCACACGATATAGCAAAAAGTAATACTTAGCCTTCATAGGGAAATTCAATTAGCATTCATAAAGTCAAGAACAACTACAAAACAACGCCATCGGGATATCAAGGAGCGACTCGGTCAGAGGGATGAAAATGAACGCACGTCCGAGTCCTCAGATTTCTCGCCCCCTTCAAAAAGCTATCTTTGGTCAACTTTTATGACACAGCCAAGTAGTATGGTAAGGTATCTGGACCCTCAATTAGGGCATGATTCCGAGTAAAATACGGAGATGCTTGGTTGTGTGTCACCAGAATACGGAAATCATGATCGATTCTGTACAGAAAACTGGGAGCTGGCGGACATTAATCCGTCAAAAGATGTAAAATGGTTCGCGGAACAATTTCATCCTGAGTATCCGGTCTAGACGACGCATCGGAGATTTGATCAAAAACGTCGATCACGCACCAAAAGTAGGCTCACTCGTCCAGCTTTGCACCGAGTCTTGTTTTCTCTCAGCCAGGATTTGACAAGCTTCTCCGTGGGATCTCGCCCCCACGGAAGGATCTGTAGGTACAGTCGTGGGGTCATGCGGGGGTGCGGGGGTTAGAACTTTCTATCATAAGCATGTTTAGGCAAGTTCTAGTGATAGCATCTTGTCTTGGCGCATGTAAGCCTTTCCACAATGGCTAGCGCCGCCACAAATATTGAGTATTGCCAAGAAGACCAACTAGCCAACCCGAAACCGAGATGTCCAAGCCCAATGATGGTTCGTAGGAGTGTCGCGAGAGCTGGACTGCTTGGCGTAAGGTAACTCCTTCCTTTGCTCCGAAATTCGGTGAAAAATCGAACTTGAATACCGAGAAGAGCCAAAAAAATGGGTTAGAAAACTCACCACTGATGTCAGATAAATAGGCAAATCATGAAATAAAACACGTTTCCCACAAGAAAGTACAAGATTCATTCGATGGGGCTTTGAGGTGTCAAGCGGCTGTTGGCACTAGCAATTACCTCTTCCGACTAAGTCTCAATTATCATCACTCTATCCTGCCACTCCAAGAACCTCCACTATGTACCTCCGACGTCTCTTCCACATCCTCTGGCTCGCCACAGCGGTGACAGCGAAGTGGATCGTTCCGCGAGCTCGATGGCATGACACCGAGGGAAACATCTTGAACGCTCACGCTGGCGGACTTGCCGTCGAACAAGCGACCGGCAGGTTCTACTGGTTTGGAGAGTACAAAGTTGAGGGATAAGTCGAGGGTGGCGGTGTTTCCGTGTACAGCTCGGACGACTTGGCGACCTGGACTTCACATGGCCTCGCTCTTGATAGTTATGGCCCAACTTCTTATCGGACGCCAATTCATGTGCTGATATTTGGCCTAGCGCCGGTTGAGGACCATCCCTACGTCTCCTGTCACAATCGTATCCAGCGTCCAAAGGTCATATACAGCAAAGAGACTGGTCAGTATCATGTACGAGAAAACACGGCCCTCGAGAGACAAAATAAGCTTAGCAGGCCCCCCTGACAAGCTGACACTTGCAGATGTGGTGGCACGTCGACGACTCCAAGTACAGCCTTCTGCTTCAAGGTCTCGCTACCTCCGATAGTATCGCCGGTCCCTACACATTCCAGAAAGCGATCTCGCCCCTGGGCAACTGGTCGCAAGACTTTGGGGCGTTCACGGACTACAAGACGGGAGAGTCGTATGCTCTTTACTCGAACGGCGACCGCCCCGAAGGACGTGATGTGTATGTTAGTAAGTTCAACAGGAACCTAACAGATATCGAAGAAGTCACCTTTCGGTTTGACAAGTATGACTTTGAGGCACCGACGATTCTGCAAACTGAGGAGAGTTACTTTGCACTGATGAGTCACAAGACGGGGTATCGTCCCAACAGTGAGTGAACCCCAGCACGTACTCTAACCTTCCAATCCGGCCAGAGAGGCTTGAAGGAACTGACGAAGAAGCAAGATGTGGTGGCGATGCGCGCCGACAAGCTCGAAGGACCCTGGTCTCAACCATTCTTCGTGGCACCTGCGTACACCCGGACATTCAGCACCCAGTCCGGTTTCTCGTGGAGAATCAAGGGGTCCAAGGCGACTACATATTTGTACATGGCTGATCAATGGGACATGCTATCGCTTTGGGAAAGCCGCAATGTGTGGCTTCCGATTGAAATCGACGAGATATCAGGAAGTCTCAAGGTTGTATGGCATGATGTCTACGATCTTGATGTGTGAGTTGAAGAAAGTCGCGACGTGATTTTGATTTGGCTGACGATTCAATGCAGGAAGACTGGTGTTTGGAAACCCGTTCGTGGAAAGACGTATACCTCCAGATACGCAAAAACTAGCGGATCTGCGCATCTGCAAGAAGCTGTGAGTTCACTGCCATACCCACATGCTAGAGACGCTGGAGAGCTTTGCTGACGGATGACACGCAGACATTTGGTAGCCACAATGTTATCGCCACTGGTATATACGGCAACGACAGCACCATCACCTTCGAAGTCGAGGGACAAGGCCGAGATCAATGGGTGTCTTTCTATCATCAGAGTAAGCCCACTATGTAATCACAAGATAAGGTATTCATCGCTAATGCATGCAGATATCGATGACATGGGCTTCGGTGACCAGCCATTCGGTCAACCGGATCGCATCAATGGGACATGGCAACTCCGCCGAATCAGCAGTGTCGTGGTAAATGGGGATGACAGCTCCGTGCACACTTTGTATCAGAAGGATACCCATAAAGGCATCATTCTGTCAACCCCTCTCTTACTTCCTCTGCAGAAGGGCAGAAACACGATTACGGTTGGTGGCCTTCACAACGGCTTTGATTATAAAGGCGCTGATCTCGATCGGATCGTCGTCTATCCTCCCGAGGAAAAGTGGCAGAAGCGATCGTTCCTTGATGCGCTAAATGTTTGGCAATAAGATTGTTCTGTAAAAGCTGCCTCATATGTTGGCTGCTTTTGCCGGCCTTGACGAGGCTAGTTGTCATTAGATCTAGTATGTAAAACGCTCAACTACGTCATGATCTCATTGCTTAATCATCTTCCTCGGGTCCCAATTGGCGTCGACATCATCCAAAAGGTTGAGCGACTTGAGCGCCTCGGCCCCCAAAATCTTCTCCAAACTGACCAGCTTGAAGCTGGCTTCAGTGCTCGTGCTCCCGTTAGGGAACTGGTTCGCATCGTCATGCACGACGACAAGGCCATGGGGGAAGTCTTTGTTAAGGTGGGTGCCGACGGCAGTGATGCCGTCAGTGTTGGAAACCGCATCAACCTGTCCGTCGGCGGATTTTGTGATTGTGAAAGTTGTGACGTATTCGTGGGGGGCAGCGCGGCGGTAGACGTTGTACGAACTCACGCCCTGGTTAGAAACCAGGACATAGCCCTGGTCTTTCGTAACGCCGTAGACGAGCGTGACGCCCTCGACGTCTGCGTAGGTGTGCCCGTCGCCGACATACGCGATACGCAATCCCGGCTCGGTGGAGTCAGGCTCAGCGTCATACCGCCAGAGTGCAGAGGGCTCTTCGCCGAGGAAGATCCAGCCGTTCTCTTCGTCTGTGACACAGCCTTCGACTTGGCCTCCCGAGCCGCCCTGGAAGTCGCGGACGAGGGCCGTCTGCAGCGTGCCGTTGGGGGTGGAGGTCAGCTCGTACTGGAGGTAGCGAGCGGACTTCTCGTTAACGAAGAGATACTGCTTTCCGGTCTTGGGGGAGCGGTAGACGCATGAGCCGTAGACTTTGTAGTCTTCGACGACGGGTTGGACGCCGCCGGCGACGTTCTTGAGGGTGCCGTTCGATGTCATTTCGAAGAGGCTGACGCGGATGTAAGTTGGTGGCACAGGGTCAAGAGAGAAAGGTGTACTTACCAAAGAGTATCATCGTCACGGCAGGCCGCGAACGCAAGGTCAACGGTACGATTGCCGGCTTGAAAGTTGTAGATCATGTCTACGTTGTTGGGCTCGGCAGCGTAAATTGTCTGCAGAAGCTTGCCGGTCAGGTCAAAGACGCCCAGTCCCGCGCCCTGAGTTGATTTGGTCGTGGTGATGATAAGGGACTTATCAGCGCCCTCGGGAGAGATCCAGATTGCAGGGTCATCTCCATCGGCACCATTTTGGTCCGTTTCGTATGAAGGCTGCACCAGGAGGAAAGAGCAGCGAAGCCCGCCCCAGCCGTCCTGGCATTTGCACTGGTTAGGACCAACACATTCGCCGCGTCCAGAGCAGTTGTCTGTGCATTGGAAGGCGTCGCACTTGTCGCCAGTAAATCCAGCAAAACAAGCGCAGCCAAGGGCGTTCTCCTCGCAGTAGCCGTTACCGGAGCACGCGTCGCAAATCTTGGACCGAGTCCGGCATCCCACCTGAGTACGTGGGTCGTACTCCTTGTTTACCGAGATTCCAAGCTCAGTGAGGGCTCCATCCAGAGACATCAGACCGAATCCAGCGACGTTGTCGGCCTCAATGGCGAAGGCGAGGGCACCACTGGGGTACTTGGAGGTCGCGCCCTGGTAAATGCTAAGGCCCTGGACCTCAATGTCCTCCAAACCGGTCAACTTGATGGTTCCAAGGAGTTTGAATGGGTACTCGTAGACGGCTACCGCGTTCTCCTGAGCGACAAAGAGGTATTCCTGGCCGGTAGAGTTAGAGGCAGTAGAAGTGTAGATAGCGACGCCGGTGACGTCTTCTTCCGCTTCGCCAATCTTGGCGACTTCAGGATTGGTGGTCGACTCGGTAAGGTCGAACACATAAACATCCTTGTCGTCGTCGGCGGAAAGAATCATCTTGGACTGCGAATGGGACACGGCGCAGCCAGAGAACTCGGTGGGCATCGTGATGTTTCGGATCTGGGAGGCTTAGCAAGAGATGCGAAAATCGGAATCATTGGCAAGCTGACCTCGACGAGCTCAATGTCAGTCTTTCCCTTTCTCACGAGATACTCGACGGCCTTGCCCTTTCCAAACAGGAAGATGTAGTCGTTTAGACTCTTGCTTCGCCACGAGCACAGCGCGGACCAATCGCCAAGGAGAGTGGTCTGGGCTGATTCAATCTCGGTGAATGAGGGCACATCAAACACGCGGATGACGGAATCAGGCATCGCTATCGTGATCGCAAGGTCCTTGTTGTCAGTGACGTTGTAGACCGTAGTGACGAGCTTTGTTCGGCCAGTGACAAGAGTCTTTACCTCCGCCAGAGGCGAGTCGCTGTTCAGATCCCAGGAATGGAAGCCGCCAGTGGCCGCTCCGCCGTCGTTTCCGAGCAGCAGAGGGTTAGACTTGGAGTAGTAGACATTGGTCCAGTCCGCCTCGAGCTCGCCACCAGTCAGAGCTGTGACGTTGAGCTCAAGGTCGACGGCCGTTGTCAGCCAGGGCTGCGCCGCAAGGGCGACAATGGCCGTGGCCACGGAAAGATACTTGAGCGCCATGGCGATGGAGTCAAGTCGAAGTAACGCGACTTGGCATGGGAGAACCGGCGAGCACAAAGCCCGCCAGAGGGGGAGAAGGAACAGTCCATTTATCATGTCGCCTCATGCTCACGCGCAGCGCAGCGGCCCGCGGCTGGAGGGATCCAACGGTAGCAATGCCCCACGCCACAGCTCCGGAATCGCAGCGGCAGACAGGTACAGTGGCAGGTTCAGCTTCCTACCATGCACGCCAATAAAGCCTAAACCATGACGGATACCGAATTTTTGTCGTCCCAAGCTCGTTCTACAGCGCCAAAGTGAGGAAAGGGCGCGTCAGTGAGAGAAATGTGATGGTGGCACTAGAAAGTGAGGTGAAACGCGTGGAGGAAACGGAAGACACAATTGGTGGACGGTTGTTGGACGAGCGAAATAGAGCTTCCACTTTTAGAGTCGCACTCATTTGCGTTTGCCTTACCCAAAACCCCTATCAGTACGCGATTTATTACCCCTCCACGCCACTTTTTACTATTAATAACAACGCCACTAACGTTAATTAACGCGCTTTTTAACGTAATTCAGGCTTTTTAATACTATTTAGAGCGTAATATAAGTATAATATTATAATACTAGAGTAGGACGATAATAATATAATCTCTATATAACTAGTATAATTATTAAGGCTAGTAGTGTTATATAAAAGTAAAAATATCTCCTTAAAACTAAGATTTCTACTAATAAAACTAATAATATAAAAATCCTTCCTACTTACCTTAGTTCTCTAAGAAGAAGATTATAAGAGAGAGCTTACACTATATTAACTTTAATCTAACCTAAAATATATTATTTTTAATAAAATAGCTATAATAAGAAGCCCCTAGCTAACTATAAAAAGGATAGTAAAATCCTCTACTAGCTCTAAGAGAAGTAAAGCTAGCTTAATTAATAAAGAGTATAATAGTAGTTAGAACTCTTAAAGTAGGGTAAATATAAGAAGAAGAGGGTTTTATACTAGTAGTAGTATATATAAAACTATAATTAAAGTTATTACTTAATAGCTTTAGCTATAAATAAACTTTATAGATAAATAATATAACTTATTAATACTAGAGGTAATAAATAATAATACTAGTAAAGTTAAAGAGATATAATAGCTAGAAGTTAATAATATTAATACTATTATTAAGGTTACTACTAAGGCTATTATTAAGACTACTATAGAGCTACTAATTAATCTTACTACTAAAGAGGATAACCTATTTAATAAGTATTTATTACTATCTCTATTATAACTATTATTATTACTACTACCTCTTATAGAACTTTAAGTTTATATAGAGATTAAGATTTCTAAGAATAATATTAAGATATAACTAGATATTAAGGTTAGGGAGATTAAATAAGAGAATATAGATAACTAAGCTAAATATATTATTTATAATATAATTAGAAACTTCTACTATAAGTGCACTTTATAATATTATAATCACTCTTTTATATTTAACTTTACTTAAGTTACCTTCCTCTCTAGTATAAATTATTAAGCTATATTCTCTAAAGAGATATTCTATATTAATTACTAAAAGCCTAATAACTAAGACTTATAGCTGTTTAAGTATTAAGAATAGATTAGTAATACTATTAAGAATAATAAGAGGAAGAATAAGTTATTATAGGTTAAGATTATTATTCTTATTATATTAAAACTACTTAACTAGTATATATTAGTCTCTATAAGCTATTATTATAAGTTTTAGTAGTTATTTTTAGCGCTATTTAGTATAGGTTTTACTTAAATAACCCCCTTAGTTAGAGTAACACTACTTTAAAACTCTATTAAGATACTTTTATAACTTAGTATAACTTTATAAACTTTATATTAGAATAATAACTTTATTAAGCTTATTCCTATTAAGCTTAGTAATACTAATAGACTATTATATTAATAGAGGTAATAGAGTAACCTATTATTAACTAATAAGTTAAGGTAGAAGAAGACCTAAGATATATACTAAGTAATCTAAGCCCTCTATAGGTATAAATTAAGAGTTAAGTGCTTTAATAATTATAATAATATTACTAATAACTATTATATTATTTATCTTTTTACCTTATTAAGCCTACTTATTTATCTTTAGATCTATAAATAATATATTATAGCTTAAGTAGAAGCTATAGCTAATAGAGAAATAACTATTAATAAGCCTCTAGAGAATATTATTATTAATATAACTTCACACTATAATAACTACTTCTATAAAAGTAAATCTAAGCTATAAAGTAAAGTTATACTAAGAGTAAATAGTAGTAAAAATAGTAGAGGTAATACTAATAAGCTTAATCTACCCTCTTCTAACCTCTATATTATAAATTAGGTTAATATACTATTACTATTACTATTCTATAACCTTATACTGCTAATTTATTCTTATTATAACTACTACACTCCTACTTAGTTATTATTACTAATACTACTACTAATAAGACTACTATTAATACTACTACACGCTAAGAAGTAGGATTTACTAAT